TGGTGCTGGGGATTGAACCCAGGTCCTTGTGCATGTGAGGCAAGCACTCTACCTCAGCCCATCATCAGGAATTTTTGTGGAACTTTGTGACCCCCCCAGAAGTTCACAACCACAACCTAAGAATATAGTCATGTATCACATAGTGTTTCCATCAACAAGGATTGAATAGATGAGGTAGTCTCATAAGATTATGACACCTAGTGATTTCATAGCCATCTTAGTTTGTGTAAGTACGCTCTATCACATTCACACAATGACAGAAATCACCCAGTAGTACATCTCAGAACTTGTTATTAATGCATGACTGTATCTTAGGTTTCTTCAATTTTAATCTGTGACTCTATGAATTAGCCTAGAAATAGAATCCCTGATGATGAGAAGTTAGGAGGGCTGGGGATGTGGCTCAAGCGGTAGCACGCTTGCCTGGCATGCGTGTGGCCTGGGTTCAGTCCTCAGCACCACATACAAACAAAGATGTTGTGTCCGCCGAAAGCTAAAAAATGAATATTAAAATTCTCTCTTTCTCTCTCTCTCTCTCTCTCTCAAAAAAAAAAAAAATCTATTTTCAAAAAAAAAAAAAAGAAGTTAGGAATAGGCCAGTCTGTGAATGTAACAATATCAAGCTGTCTTCCTGGCGATGACACCCTTCTATGAGTTTTGATGTGGGAAGTTTGAACCTTTGATTAGTGTAGATATATACCATTTACCTATTTTGACCTTCCTGCTGTGCAGATGATGGTGTGAGCATCCCTGGGGAGTACACCTCTTTTTTGGCTCCCATCTCTTCCTCCAAGCTGTACAATGAAGTCCGAGCCTGTCGGGAAAAGGACCGTGACCCCGAGGTAAAAAACTATTCTCTTCTGGAAGGAAGTGATACTCTTTAGTACTGTTTTCTTCCAATGGAAAAGATGAAGTGATGAAAGAGAAGTTGAGGATGGAGGAAAGTGGTTGAAGTAAAACTTATCTTTTTCTGTGTCCCTGGGTCTTTAGCCTTTTTCCCTCAGGGAAGTAGGTATCTTTTGTCTTGTCTTCTCCAGCTCTTGCTTTCTCTCACTTGGGACAGGCCCAGTTTGAGATGCCTTATGTGGTACGGCTGCACAACTTTCACCAGCTATCTGCGCCCCAGCCCTGTTTCACCTTCAGCCATCCCAACAGAGGTAGGTTCCTGCATGGTTGTCCTGACTAGAGCTGGAGTAGCTCACCCACCCTCCTGCTTTCTCCACTTGCTTTCTTAAGTCTGCCCTATCTAGGTTTCCCTTTTGGGTCTTCTCATGCTTTAGTCCAAGTTTTCCAGGACTTCTGATTCCTCATCACCCCCATAATCTTTCCTATCAGATCCTATGATTGACAACAACCGTTACTGTACCTTGGAGTTTCCTGTGGAAGTGAACACTGTGCTACATGGGTTTGCAGGCTACTTTGAGACTGTGCTTTATCAGGACATCACTCTGAGTGAGTGTCTGGGGACTAGGGTATTAGGGTGTGCTGTCTGGGGAGTTTGTGTACATGTCTCATTTAGATTCATGGTAAGCCCCAGAGTCAGTGGAAATCTTTGATTACTTGTTTCCATGATCATAGAAGAGACACTTTTCAATTTCTGCAAAAGGCATAGTCATGCACACATCAATTGTTTTATTTTGTTGGCACAGGTATTCGTCCAGAGACTCACTCTCCTGGGATGTTCTCATGGTTTCCCATCCTATTCCCCATTAAGGTAGGAATTGCTGTTAAAACTTTGTAGGGCCACGTATAGTGGGGCATACCTGTAATCCTAGTAACTCGGGGTGCTGAGGCTGGAGGACTGCAAGTTCAAGACAGTCTTAGCATCTTAGTGAAACCCTCTTTAAAAAAAAAAAATAAGAGGCTGGGAGGCTGGGGATATTAACTCAGTGGTAGAGTTCACTGGGTTTAATTCCCTGTCCTGGGAGGCATTGGGGGAGGGGGGAGACTAGGTTAAGGAGTAATTTCTGCCATTGGTGTTTGCTTCTTTCCTTTTCTCAGGATGATATTTGCTATGACCTATGTTGTGATGTTCTGGTCCTCATAGGTCCTTGTAGGGTCATCTGCAGTACCCTTCAACCTGGCCTTCCCGCATCTACTCTGGCTTCTCTTATTCTCTACCTTAAAGCAAGAGTCATGTTTTAAAAACTCAAATCTGATTTTATTGTTCTCCTGTTTAAAACACTTAAATGCCTTTTCATGCCCTATAGGATAAAGGTCAGAATCTGAAACTGCTTGTAAGAGTTGGTATGATTTAGTTTTTGGCTACCTTTTCAGCTGCTGTTCCCTGGCTCCCACTGTCTCAGCCCTATGTACCTTTTTTTGTTTATTTCTCTAATATTCCTTCTTTCCTGCCTCAGGTTTTTACATCTCTTTTCTTTGCCTTGCTCATCTTTTCACCCATCTTTCAGATCTACTTGAATATTTCTAGTGTCAGATAAAACTCCCTGGCCTCCTAGGTTATCACCACCCCCCACCCCTTTTTTTTTTTTTTTTTTAAGTACTGGGGATTGAACCCAGGGGCACTCTATTGCTGAGCTATGTCCCCTGCCCTTTTTATTTTTCGACAGAGTCTCATTAAATTGCCCAGGCTGGCCTTGAACTTGCTATCCTGTCTCAGCTTTCTGAGCCTTACAGGTGTACATTGTATACCACTGTGCCCAGTAGCATTCTTTCATAGATGCTTTCTGGCACCCTGTACACATTCACAGCACTCATCCACTCATTTATTTATTCAATAGCTCCACCGGTAATTGTTTATTCAATGTTCAATTGTTCTGTATTCTGATAGATTTCAAATAAGTTTTATGAGGATTGGAATGGCTTACTGTGTCATTTACCACACCTACCCTGATACATTGCCACTTAAAATTCATTAGCTCTACCCTGAACCTTCTTTTCTTTCTTCTTACAGCAGCCCATTACGGTGCGTGAAGGCCAGACCATCTGTGTGTGTTTCTGGAGATGCAGCAATTCCAAGAAGGTGTGGTATGAGTGGGCTGTGACAGCACCAGTCTGTTCTGCTATTCACAACCCCACAGGTCGCTCATATACTATTGGCCTCTAGCCCTATGTGCAAGAGTCTAGAGCCTTGGAAGCAGCTTTGGGTTCTCCTATAGCACAGAAGGTGCCGTACATCTGTGGGTGCAGTACATCTACGAATTCTTTGTCCATCAGAGGAGCATTTCCATTTGTTTACCTACTTTATATCAAGGTGGGCAAGGGATTAAAAATTGCAGAGCCCAAGTCACCAATCTGTGAAGACGTCAGACCAGGGTGTGTGAAATTAGTAGTGCTGGATCTGAAGTTACATCAACAAGCATTCAGCTTCAAGAGCTTCGTGGAATAGCCCTGAGAACATGTGGATTTGACAAATTTTCAGCTCTTCCCTGCCTTCTCTATTCCTGTTTTGATGGTTTTGTGTAAGAGGAAGTACAAATAAAGTGAAGTTATGGCCCTTTCCTGCTCTACCCTCCTGCCCCCAGCCTCTGTTTTCCCATACCTCACTTAGATGCAGGCATAATCAGATCTGTCCCATTATCCTAAGATCCAAAGGGGTCTAGCTTTATTCTCCACTAAAGAAGCTGAGTGAGAGCTGCGGGTGGAGCTCAGTGGAGCATTTGTCTAGAGTACATGAAGCCCTGAGTTCCATCCCTGGCACCACAAGAAATAACAAAACCCTCAAATGCTAAGTGGTTACATTTGGACTCCTACATATAGTCCTTTCTGACTAGCTACAGGGAGTTCTTGCCACTAAGACCTGGGGTTAGGTTTTTCTCTGGGGAGGAGGCATAGTTCACCACCTTGAGAAAACATGGAGCTATATAGCCCTTCTGCCTTCCTGAGCTACTGCATTGCCAGCTCCTTTTGTTACCTCTTGGGAGAAGAGACACTGAAAGCCTAGCTCTAGGAATCTTCAGCAAGAAGATAACTTTTTTTTTTTTTTAAATAAAATCAGTTTGAAGACCTGAGATCGTTAGTCCATTTTTTTCCATTTTGAAGAAAATAAGTGCAATGACATTAAATATCCAAATCAAATCTAGCCAAGCTTATTGGCACCTGCCTGTAATCACAGCGACCTGGAGGTTGAGGCAGGAGAATCCCAAGCTGAGAGTCAGCCTCAGCAATTTAAGAGAGACTGGCTCAAAGAGCTGAGGATGTATCTAAGTGGTAAAGCGTCCCTGGATTTGAAAGGGGTTGAATCAGAACTCATCAGGTCCTCTGACTCCACGATATAACCAGCTGATTCTACCAGCTGTTAGGCAGCCATTGTCTCGAAGCCCTTGGAAAGTGTGAGTAGGCTCAGTTATCCCTGGTCAGAGGGCAAAATACTACTGAATCCAAGGATATACTGAGAAACAGTCTCAAACTTACCTTGCGGTGAGAGGTGTGTGTGTGKGGGGGGGCAGCAATGATTTGAATTGAATGGGACTACGCAGAACATGGCAGACAAATCTCGCACGACTACGTTTCACAGGTCCCAAGTACCCGAGTCAGGAGGTGTTGGGTGAAAAGGGGGTGTGCAGGCCCACATCCCCCATGAGAAAACAGCACAATTACTCTCCACAAAACAGTCTCTGGGAGGACAGACATTCGCACATCGGCAAATCAGTAGAGACTGCCAAGGACATCCTTCCACCCTCCGTCCCTCCTCGTTGGCTCCGCCCGCCGCATTGGCCCAGTCCGTGCTAGTACCCAGAATGGGACAGGTGGGCCCTTCCCTCTTGTTCTGGACCTGTTTCCCCACCTTCCGCAAGTCACTTAGCCAATAAGAGAGTGAAGGCAACTACCAAAGGGGTTTTCACTTTCCTTGAGTCTCTCAGAAGCTGGCCAATCAGTGGTAACTTGATGGTTGCTAAGAGACATTTACGTTTCGCTCCACCCGTACTTAAGAGTTTTAGCCAATGAAAACCTTCACTTTGGACCGTTGCCGCGAAACCAGAGAGATGAGGTCCAGCGCCTGTTTCCGGCGCATGCGCAGATTGCGGAAGGTTCTGGAAGATAGCTGAGGTGCCGCCATTTTGCGGGAAGAGGAGCAGGTCTGACTGCTGTGCTGCTTTTTTAGCTGAGACCGTAGGATATAGCTGAGCTTCGCGCCCCACACACACCTAAAGGAACGGAGAGAACCGGGACCCCCCTGCGGGGACCCGGAACTGGTGAGAAACCCCGAAACTGTGTCCCGCGCCGCTACGTCACCTATGTGTGACGTTGCTGTGTGGCGCCTCCCCCTGACGTCACAGGCAGAAAATGGCGTCATGAGCAAATCAGGCAAACTTAAAATTAAAAAAACGAAAACAGAAAACCCAACTTTTTGTTTATTTTGTTCTGGAAACGTTCACTATCTAAATGTAGCCCACTGGCGTGACTTTAGATATCGGCACCTCATGGTTGTAACTTATACCGGTAAAGTTGCGGCTTCAAGGATTCCAGTGACGTCGCTTTTCCGGACCTCGCTGCCGAGGCACTTAGGGTCGCTCCTTCTGGGGAGGGAGCTTTGACCCTCCGCAGTCTGAGAAGACCCATATAATCTTTCTACCGTTGGTGCCTGGTGCCACCACTCAGAGAGATAAGGGGATTGAGATTTCTTCCTCAATTCCCAGTTCCTTGAAAACTTATGTTTAATGTGTTGGCCTCTGTGAGCTTTTAACTTTCGACTACACACATTCCCTAGGCTTATGGTGAGGCCTCATGAGGTTGGAGCACTGGGACGCTGGCGTTTGCAACGATGGTACAAGTTACTTATAGGACCATTTTATTTTATTTTATTTTTTGTTGCAGATGGACACAATACCTTTATTATTTTTTATTTATTTTTATGTGGTGCTGAGGATGGAACCCAGCGCTTCACACATGCTAGGCAAGTGCTCTACCACTGAGCTACAACCCCAGCCCTTACAGGACCATTTTTTATTTTAAAAAATTTTTTAGTTGTAGTTGGACACAATACCTTTGTTTTTTTTTTTTTTTTGTGGTGCTGAGGATCGAACCCAGGGCCTCGCACAAGCCGGGCGAGCGCTCTACCGCTGAACCCAGCCCTAGCCCTATAGGGCCATTTTTAAAAGAGCAATTTTGGATCGTTGCACAACATGGGGAGGGTAGTCCTTTTTGCCTTTCTAATTCTTGGTATTAATTAACCTGCCTTTCGTTTTGGAGTTGTTTATGCCGCCTCAGTGATTTAATCCAGGAAATGGTGCTTCCATCAGTCCAGTGACTCCAGGATTTGGTGTATTTTTCCTGAATAGTGGTTCTTCTCTGCCCCTTCAACAGTGGTGTTTGCAAAGTTCAAGCACTGCAGTGGTTGTAGGCTTCTATGTAGTTTTTTGATCAGAGATGGAAGCATACACTGGTGTGTATATATGGATGGGATTGAGTGCACCTTGACCCATAAACTGGGATATAGAATTCGAAAACTACCAATCTAAAAATGTATATTTGGCACCTTGTTGCTTTTAGGACATCTAAAAAGACAACCCAGAGAGACTGCCAGTTTCACATTAACATGTTCTACAGTCATACATTGCCTAACAATGGAGTATGTTCTGAGAAATGTGGTATTAGGCAATTTCCTCCCATTTAAAATATCAGAGTGTAGTTTCACAAACTAGGAGGGCTACTATGTTATTTTTTAAAAAATATTTTTAGTTGTCAATGGACCTTTATTTATTTTATGTGGTACTGAGAATSGAACGGAGTACCCCACACATGCTAGGCAAGTACTCTACCACTAAGCCACAACCCCAGCCCCTACTGTTATTAAACAGCATAATCTTATGGTCCATGTCTTATATATGGTCCATTGACAGAAACAACATTACATGGCACATGACAATATGTCTGTATTTACATGTGTTTCAGGGTGAAAATTTCATACATAGAGTTCATTTGGAGAGGATTATCAACTTTGGTGAAAGTTTCTGGGGTTTTTGTTGTTTGTTTTTGTTTTTCTTTTGGTGCTGGGGATTGATCCAGGGCCTCCAGCATGCTAAAATTCTAAGCACATTGTATTACACCCAGCCCCCTAACTGAAAGTTTTTGTATATGTTTTGTTACCTGTGCTCTCTGATTCCACTCAATGATAGCAGTTCTTGAAATTAGAAGCATTTAATTTAGAGAGGAAAAAGCGGATTGTAAAGAAGAGTTTTTAACACTTAGAAAATTTGTGTAGATTTGGGGCTGGGGTTGTGGCTCAGTGGTATAGTGCTTGCCTAGCACATGGGGGGCCCTGGGTTTGATCCTCAGCACCACATAAAATAAATAAATAAAATAAAGGTATTGTATCCAACTACAATTAAAAATAAATATTAAAAAAATTGTAGATTTGGCAGGCAAAGTAACTCAAAAATGATTTTAAGGTTGAAAACTTATTTTTAGACCCATTTTTCCACAGTGGGCCAGATAATACATGTTGTCATTAGTGTGGTATAGAAGCTGTGAAGGTGTGTCAAATGGGACTGTTTTGATAAACCTATCAGAACATTCATGTTCAGTGATCTATATTTAAAACTAAATATTTTAGTATGCTGGGTTTTTTTTTTTGAGAATTTTTTAATATTTATTATTTAGTTTTTTTCGGTGGACACATCATCTTTGTATGTGGTGCTGAGGATCAAACACGGGCCGCACGCATGCCAGGCGAGTGCGCTACCACTTGAGCCACATCCCCAGCCCCTAGTATGCTGTTTTGTTTTTTATTTCTTTTAAGTTTAAACCAAACGAAAGAGGTAACCTGATATAATTGTTAGATTTGGAGTCAGAAGACCTCTGTAATCAAGAAGTAACCCCTTTATTTGAGCTATTTGACTTTATACAGTTGAAAAAAATCTCATTTAAAAAAAATCTGTGAATGGGTCAGATATTATCTGCAGCATATATTACCTTTGATTGCTAAATAAACATTAGATGCTGTTATGAGAGTTTAATTCACTGGGTTTTAGACACCTATTTGATTTTGGTTTGATTTTCATCCTCTTTCATCTTCTTCTAAGATTTTTATCTCTATAATATACTTAAAACAGTGCCTAGAAATCACAATTCATATGAGGTAGGTAGGTATAATCATTACACATACTAAAGCATCAATATAGGGTATGGGCTTTGAGGGCAATCAGAATAGCACTGTTGGGTTGTGCATTACCTGTTTTAAGGAAGATAAAGCTTTTGTGGATATGGAAAGTGATTTTGATAGAAATTCCTCAGGTTAGTTTTCTTTTTACAGTATCATTGATGTATAAGCAATTAGTATACAGTAAAACTRTAGACATTAATGTGTAGTTGGTTGGGTCTTATTATGTGTAAACACCCATAAAACATTACTCCCAAACGTTTTCTTATGCCCTCTTAAAATCTTTTCCTCCCAGCCCTTCTTCACCTGCTCCTATACCTACACAACCACGGATCTGCTTTCTGTGACTGTAGATTTGTCTGAATTTTCTAGAATTTTATATAAATGGAATTATTCAGTGTTTTGGTCTGATTTGTTTTACTCAGCATCATTATTTTGAGATTCATCCATGTAGATTCATCCAATAATTCCAAAGCAATAATTTTTAATATTAATGTTGTTTGATATCTTTGTTTTTCTGATTTGAAAGACCTCTGATAAACAACCAGAGTGAAGACAGATGCTAGATGTGAAAGCTTGAGGGATGTGAGCACTTTTTCCATGTCTTCCAGACAAAAAGGCTTCAAAGTGAAATTGGTTAAGCCGATTTTAACTAAAAAAAAAAGAAAAAGAAAAATACACACACACACACACACACACGTTTACACATATATGTATTTTGGGGTGGGTACTAAGGATTGAACCCAGTGATGTTTTACCACTGAGCTATATCCCCATCTATTTTTTAATTTTTTATTTTGAGCCAAAGTCCTGTTTAGGGCCTGAGTTGCTGAGGTTTGCCTTCAACTTGCCGATCCTTCTGCCTCAGCCTCCCTAGTCACTGACGTTATAGATGTGTGCTATTGTGCCTGACTTAATCATAATATATTTCTGAATTGCCTAACCTCTATGTTGCGCTGAAAATGCTTAGTGACGAGGCCCTAATTATTGATGTTTGGGTCATGTGCGGAAGAGCTTAAGGCAAATTTGCATCATTCTGGTTTTGCCTTGTCTTGCTTCTGATTTTTGGTCTTGTGCCTTTACTTTTTTATTGGAAATGTGTGCCTATTTTTATGATTTAAGTTTATTAGTATCTTTTTTAAAACTTTTTATAGTTGTAGATGGATAGCATGCCTTTATTTTTATGTGGTGCTAAGGATTGAACCCAGTGCCTCACACATGCTAGGCAAGTGCTCTGCCACTGAGCCACAGCCACAGCCCCTATTAGTGTCTTTTTACATTATAAATTTAAGCCAGTTAGCCAGGTGGGAATTTTGAACAGTAGAATGGAAGCCTAATGTCCCTTGTAAAGTGAATAGTAATTTTGAGTACCAATATTTTCAGCTAGGTGTGGTGGTATATGCCTGGAATCCCAGCTGCTTGGGATGCTGAGGCAGAAGGATAATAAGTTCAGTGCTAGATTGGACAATTTAGTGAGACCCTGTCTTAAATAAAATAAAATAGGTCTTGGGATATAGCTCAGTAGTAGAATACCCTGGGGTTCAGTCCCCAGTGCCTCCAAAATGAAACAAACATTTGACAGTGTTTTCACAGAATAAGAGTTATATTGCATTTGTCTCTACCTGGGTATTCAGTTTCCTTCTAGACCCATGACCATTTCTTTTTTCCCCCATATTTAGTGGTACATATTGGTAGGATTTGTTACATGTTCATACAAACATCGGTCCCTTTCCTCTACAGATCTCCTTTTGATTTTCAAGAGATCCGCCCCTACCTTTCTTTTCCTTTTTCCCAAGTATGAGAGGAAATATATGATCTTTAGCCTTCTGAATTTGACTTATTTTCCTTAACATAGTGGTAGACCCTTGACTGTTTCTAAGCCACAAAGCATAACTAGTTTAGATCTGTAGGATGTAAAAATAAATGTAGAATAAACAATAGCTGGTAAGATCCTTTTAAATTTTTAAGAAAAAAAAACTGTATTCCTGAAGTCTGTTTCTTGGAGGGAAAGGAATGTGGTGCTAGAAGGGAAGGAAAAATGTAAATCAGATTTTTATGTTTTAATATCTTCTCCTCAGATCTGACACGATGGCATCTGATGACTTTGATATAGTGATTGAGGCCATGCTGGAAGCTCCCTATAAAAAAGAGGAGGTAATATTCCCCACCTCACTCCTGGAATTGGGTTAATAAGAAAGAGCAGTTGTGGATCATCAGTTGAAACATTTTGTGGATCTTCTTTCCCTGCTTGTTTATTATGCTCAGTGACTATTCTTAAAAGGCATAGTCTCTCGTAATCTTTGCTGGGGACCTGTACTCAAGGACCATTCTTTTAGAGAGGACCCTGAAAGCCAGGGGTGGGCACATAATGTGGTGGTGGTATCATGTGCTTTGCTGGTAACTCTCAGTGACAGTAGAAAGTCAGTGAACCTCAGACCAGCGCCAGTTTCTCACTCTCCTGGGACATAATGTCAGTGAAACAGATGTTAGGTAGCTGACATTTGACATCAAAGTCTGTCATTCTGATCTCTTCCTTTTTGGTAGTTTCCTTGCTTCCTCTATTATTCCCCTTGTTAGGAGATCCAGGTGCTCCAAAACTGGCTAGATAATTGAGAGCTTTTGATTTCTTCCTTGTCCACCTTTGTTCTTTTTGCCCAATGGAATCTGTGTGTCTGCCACCTTGTACCTTGTGATATTTTCCTGGCGAACTCCTCAGGATGAGCAGCAAAGGAAAGAGGTTAAAAAGGACAGTCCTAGCAATACCACCAGCAACACCGGCAACAGTGGCAGTGGTACCAGTGTGAGCACCACCACTGGGGAGACAAGCAAGTGAGTGTGGGGTGAAGAAACGGGTTGGCAACTTGGGGAAGGGAAACAACGGCATCCATTGGAGAAACAGCCAGAATAGGGAGGCGGTGGCTCTTAAGACTGCTGACATTTAGTAATGGCTCCACTGGGTCATGGGAACATTGGTGAGTTGGTTTAATGATCTTCTAGTCTTCGCTTTCCAGTGTAGATTTGTGGATCAGTCCTAGCATCGATATATTTCATTTGAATAAAATAGCAAGAGGACCCCTGATTTGGAAACACCAGCTTTTGCTTGGCTTTGGGGGGAAATTGGCCACTTCAGATGACTGACAGCATTCAGGGCTCTGTGTAAGTTGGTGTTGTGCAGTTACTGTGAACTACTGCCAGATCATCTTCTGGGCTTTGGTCTTTTGGTGCTTTCTGTTTCACTCTGTCCTTACTCTCATTCTTTTTCCTTGGGAAAGATAATAAAACTTTCTCAGTAGTAAGAATTTCTGCTCTTTCACAGGAAGAAGAGGAGTCGGAGTCATAGTAGAAGCAGGGATAGAAAGCGCAGGTCTGTAATTTTGGGAACTGATGGGTTTGGGGAATTGGTGTTTTTTTTTTTTAAACATGTTGATGGACCTTATTCATTTATTTATATGTGGTGCTGAGAATCAAACCCAGTGCCTCACAGATGCTAGGCAAGTGCTCTGCCACTGAACCACAACCCCAGCCCAGATTTGGGGAATTGTTAAAATGGGAAGATAGCATGGAAGGCTATAGGTTAAAGTTCAGAAGAGGTTATTTTTATCTGTAGTCGTAGCCGAGAACGGGATCGGCATAGACGGAGAAACAGTCGCAGCCGAAGTCGAGATCGGCAGCGTCATCACCGCAGCCGCAGCCGGGATCGGCGACATAATAGTGAGTCGAGAAGTCGAGACCGGCGACGTGAAGATCGTGTGCGCTATAGGAGTCCTCCACTTCCCACTGGGTATCACCATTTCTAAACAATGTCACCCTTCTGTCTTACTCTGGCTACAACAAGTGCACTGTGGATCCTGCCTGAGGGTGCTTATCACCCACTGTGATAGGCAGGTTGCACAGTTACTGGAGGGATGGTACAGGTTGAGTACACCTAGGTGAAATGCTTGATACCAGCAGTATTTTGGATCCTGGATTGTTTTCGATTTTGTAATATTTACATATACATAATGAGATACTATGGGATTGGTGGTAACTTTTAATGCATTTTAGTATGCCTATGTTTTGACTGCAATCTTCAATTTTCAGGTTAGGTATGCTCAACCTATATTAATAGTTCGTATATATGAGATGAGGTGCTGGAATCTGGTTTTCTCATAATGAAAGACCCAGCATTGAATAAAGTTTTATTTTTGTTTTTCTCTGTTTCTAGACGTAGGTATGGACACAGTAAAAGCCCTCATTTCAAAGAGAAGAGCCCGGTCAGGTAGGTTAATAATGAGCACTTTTAGGGATTGTGAAATATGAATAAAATGTTGGTAGAGCCAAACTATAGGAATGTGTTTTACTTGAGGGTTAACTGGAGAATAGTAACCAAGGATTGAGAGGAGCAGTCTAAACATGTTTTATGTTTTAGGCAGCCAATTGATAATCTGAGCCCTGAGGAGCGTGATGCCCGCACAGTTTTCTGTATGCAATTAGCTGCCCGTATCCGGCCTCGAGACCTGGAGGACTTTTTTTCTGCTGTTGGCAAGGTAACCTTCCCAACTCAGTGTTCCTCTGAGTAATTTATCTTCTATCTACCTTCATTCTCAATAGGATTTTCTTTGTGTCCTGGGATAGGTTCGTGATGTGCGTATCATCTCAGATCGGAACTCACGTCGTTCTAAAGGCATTGCGTATGTGGAATTCTGTGAAATGCAGTCTGTGCCACTGGCCATTGGGCTGACTGGGCAACGACTTCTGGGAGTACCTATCATTGTACAGGCCTCACAGGTGAGCAGGTTAAGAAGGTGACATAATAAAAGGTGGGTAGGAAAGTGGAACATAACCTATCATGTATTTCTGCTTTTTTAGGCTGAGAAAAACCGATTGGCAGCCATGGCCAACAATCTGCAGAAGGGTACTGGTGGACCAATGCGCCTCTATGTGGGCTCCCTGCACTTCAATATCACTGAGGACATGCTCCGGGGCATCTTTGAGCCTTTTGGCAAGGTGAGTAGAAAGGAAAACTTGTGAAGGGGATTGAAAAATGTGGATGGGGCTGGAGTTATGGCTCAGTGGTAGAGTGCTCGCCTCCCATGTGCGAGGCCCTGGGTTGGATCCTTGGCACTACATAAAAATAAAATAAATAAATGAAATAAAGATATTGTGTCCATCTACAACTAAAAAAAAAAAAAAAAAAGATAGAAAGAAGGAGAAAAATGTGGAGTAGGTGTGTGTGTACTGTTCTTCTGTCTAATTATGATTAACTCATTGCATATGTCCTTGGCAAATGGTCCATGGCATGAAAGTTAGGTTCCATCTCTAATCATGGTGATCAGTAGAAAACCAAGTCAGACACAATAAAATCAAATAAGAGGATCCAGATTAAGTAAGATTAGTTAAGTGTTTTTGAAAAAGATGGCCTTTGTCTTTTTTGATACTGGGGTTTGAACCCAGGGGCACTTTACTGCTGGTCTGTATTCTCAACCCTATTTATTTATTTATTTTTTAGGTGTTGGTGGACCTTTATTTTATTCATTTATTTATATGTGGTGCTGAGAATCAAACCCAGTGCCTCACACGTGCTAGGCAAATGCTCTACCACTGAGCCACAGCCTCAGCCCCTCAACCCTTTTTAAGTTTTTTGAGATAGGTTCTTGCTAAGTGACTGAGGGACTAAGTTGCTGAGGCTGCCCTTGAACTCACAATCCTCCTGCCTCAGCCTCCCAAGTCACTGGGATTACAGGTGCACACCATCACACCCTGCCTTTGTCTCTTTTTAAAAGAAGGTTTGGGGGGCTGGGGTTGTAGCTCAGTGGGAGAGCGCTTGTCTAGCATGTGTGAGGCACTGGGTTTGATCTCAGCATTGCTTATAAATAAAATAAAGGTTCATTGATGACTAAAAAAAAAGGAGGTGATTTGGGAAGATATAATTTGTTATCCGGAGGTAGAGAGAGGTATTTAGAATAATTTGGGTAAGAGAGATGAAAGATTGTGGGCTACTGAAAATATAATTAATAATTCCTTCCTGTTCCTCTGCAGATTGACAATATTATCCTGATGAAAGACTCAGATACAGGCCGTTCTAAAGGTTATGGTTTTATTACGGTGAGTCTCTTGTCTTCTAGTTTTTAAATTTTTCTTTGGGTTTTTCCACTTGTCTGATTTTGCAGCTTAGCTTCATCCTCCTCCTTTAGGAACTAAGTGACCCATAAATCCTGGTGCCTGAAGCTTGGACTAGCCTTCTGCCCCTTGAGATGAGTGAATTGCTTGAGATCTTGGCTTTGCTCCTACACTGTGTCAGTGGCCTTGGTATGGGGGTGTCCAGGAATTTCAGCCAGCTTCCCTGGTGCTGCATCTTGCTCTTTGGGTAATAGTAATGTTTCCAGGCTGCAGCTAAAAGGTTGGGGGCATGAGGGAGGTTAGGCATGGGTGTTTAATGACAGATTTATAGAATCAGTGCATTCTCATGATAAGGATGGGAATAGGAAGTTAATACTTCCCCCTGGCACTACCTCATTTGAAGCAGTTTCTCCATTGAGAACAACACCACTATAGGAACAACATCGTAGGAAGAATAGTGAGGCTACCCTAGTAATGGGTAGCCTTTTCCTGACTCTCCCAACAAAATTGTTTCTACTTCCTATAACTGGTTCTTCCAGCCCCTTGTGACTCCAGTTTGAGAACTGGCTGCCAGCCACAAAATTGGATAGAAACTGATATTTTCTGGGCTTAATCCAGACAGTGTATGTCCTCACAGTTGCCTACAGGGCAGAGAGCAGTAGGTTGTGTTCTGTCATGGGAATTGCTCACCTTAGAAGTATCCAGTAAAAGCAAGCCACCTACACCACCACCTAGGAACTGTCAGTACCACATGCCAGGCCCTACAGCAAGGATTGCCAGAGTAAACAAAGCCAGCTGTGGTGTTGATGATTCCTTAGTGGCAAGTAACCATTTCTAATTCTGTGTGACTCACACATGGAAAGGCTTCTGTTGCTGCCTTTTGGTCAACAGCCTTGACATACCAACAGCCAAGTGGGAATCTTCAAACTGGGTACTGCGGGTGCGGCTGATAAAAAAGGACTAAAGAGCAGAGACTGGTTTTGAACTTGCTGGTCAACTAAAGAGCAGAGACTGTCTGCCCATCATTTAATAGCCAGCACTGGATAGGGATGAGGATATACTGTCTGCCCTCAATACCACAGTGTGTTTCTTCTAAGCTTGGGCTCTGGAGTCCCAGAGTCTGGGCTCTGGAGTCCCAGATTCCTAGTACTTGATTGAGAACTAAAACTTACTAAGCCTGGGGGATGAGTGAAAAACTGAGAAGATTTTACTTCCATTTTACATGCCCATTTGTAAAACAGCCTGTCAGGCTAGATTCCTTACAGGTGATATACTTTTTGCATTGGTAGATATCTTAATGGAGCTGGAATATTGAAAAGTGGTTGCCACTCAGTCTTTTTCAGACGATCATTTTGAGGCAGTGGGGGTCTTAGGTTACATTCCCTGGGAAAGAAAATTTTGTACTATAGTGAATATGTAACTTTCCTGTGATAGAGGGTCCAGGGAATGTTAAGTGGGGCTTTGAGAACATGTCTGACCAGGAGGTGACTGACACAGCCTGGGTTTCTTGTAGTTCTCTGACTCTGAGTGTGCCCGGCGGGCCCTGGAACAGTTGAATGGTTTTGAACTTGCTGGTCGATCTATGAGGGTTGGCCAAGTGACTGAGCGGCTGGATGGTGGCACAGACATCATTTTTCCTGATGGGGACCAGGAGCTGGATCTGGGATCAGCAGGTGGACGTTTGCAGCTTGTGGCCAAACTGGCAGAAGGTAGAGTATCTGCTGGGTGGAGAACACAGGGATGAATTTTAGATCAAGGATTGGTACTTAATCCCACCTCTTGTTCTTTTAGGCTCTGGAATCCAGCTGCCAACCACAGCTGCTGCTGCTGCTGCTGCTGCCCAAGCTGCTGCCTTACAACTGAATGGAGCAGTTCCTTTGGGGGCCCTGAACCCAGCAGCTCTGACTGGTAGACATAGGCTTAGAAAAGGGAATGAAGGGGTGGTACTTGGAAGAAAGGAATGCTTTTTGCTCACTCAAATCACTCTACATATCTTTGTTTTAGCTCTGAGTCCGGCTTTGAACCTTGCCTCCCAGGCAATTGCATCCCAGTGCTTCCAGCTTTCCAGCCTCTTTACCCCCCAAACCATGTGAGTCTCAAGGCTTAGCTCATTTTATTGTTTGGTTATTCTCTTCTCTTTGGGCTTCTCATTTACCTCTTTTCCTTGTCACAGGTAAATCAGTGGCACAGCACACTACCTCTCTGTACCCTCTGGGTCCTGCCACTCTCTTCTCCTTCTACTGCCCTGTCTTCCATTTGTGGACCAAGCCATCCTGAGGGCATGGACATTGATTCTAGAGGAACTTGGGACCACTCTTAAGACAACAAGAAGAGCTCCTGCCCATGCCCCACTGGGAATGGACTCTGCTGAGCAAAGCCCCCAGTTGAAGAGAACAATCTACACCTGCATTGAACACTTTTGTCTTTGTGTATCTTTTCCCAAGACCACCTTCTTTCCCTTTCCCATCACCTCTTAGTGATTCTTCCTCCATTGGGAAGGCCATAGCGCATTAACTATAGGACCTAACCTCTCTTCCTATATTTTTACCCTGTAAACTATCACAGGATCTCTGAATATAGAGGACATTGAGTTACGGGGTGCACTTTGAAGGTGCTGGACTTTTGCTTTAAGGACCCTGGCAGATAGCATGGATATGGGCATGTACATTATGACACCTGGCTCAGGCCTCAGCTTAATTATAGCTTGAAGCCAGAACTACTACTGTAGGCTCAGCATCTTATTGGGAGGCACAGTAGTGATCTATTCTGCCAGGCAATTGGGATTGAAGCCTCAGGGGCTTTCAGGAGTTTAAGTAAAAGGTGGGATACCTTTCCATCTTCCTTTGTACACTTGTCCTTCTCAAGTCCTCCCTTTGGCCTAGGGTGTGAGGATGGAGGGGAGGCTGCTATTTTCCACCACTTCCTATGTGCCTCAACTGATGTTTCAACCCTGGTGGTTAAAGCCACTCCCATCCCCTACCTGAGTATGGGTGAGCCCTTCTCACTTGATTTTATATCCTTGTGTCTATGTACATATAAAAGAAAAGATTATATATATATATATACATATAAACTTTATATAAAAGCCAATCTCCCTGTTGTGGCTGCTGCTGTCCATGTGGTCTCAGTTAGTGTGTTGTTCTGATGTTAAACTTCGGAGCCAAAACCATGATGGTTCCAGGGAGATATATAAAACATTTATAATACCAGTGCCTTTTCTTTATTGTATTTGACCTTTATGGAAAAAAACAGAAGAAGGCTCACATCTGGTGGAATTCCCCATCTGTATCTACCTTCCATTCTTAGCCATGGTCTCCATCTATTGTCATCTTTTTGTGTGGTGGGGGCAGGTACTAGGTATTGAATCAAGGGTTTATTTTACCACTGAGTCACATCCCCAGCCCTTTCTATTTTTTGAAACAGGGTCTCACTAAGTTGTGGAGGCTGGCCTTGAACTTCTGAAACTCCTGCATCAGTCTCCCAAGTCACTGGGATTACAGGCGTGCACCACCTTGCAGGGCTTTATCACCTCAAGTGTCTTCATACCTGCCTGCCCTCTGAATAGACTTTTGACTCCTGTCTGTGCCTAAGGACAAAGCTTGTCTTTCCACCAGATGGCAGTGTGACAGTAGCACATTCTATACCTTTCTTTGAGGTGTTTTGTGATCTTGAGGAGCTTAAGTACCAAAAACGTCTCTTAAGACTCACAGTTTTACCCTGTAGGTTTTGTGCCTACCTTTCACCTTCTGTATCCCAATCCACTATCTAAAAGGATCTGGACATTATATTATATCAGGGCTTCCCTGACCTGACTTCAACAATTATTTTTTTGGCCAGTTCTCTGAATCCTTGCTTTTCATATAGCTTTGCCTGAGAACAGGCTTGGGACTGGTGAATTTCCAAAGAGCAGAGTATTTCAGGAATAGCCCTGCCTAAGGGGAGTTATACCTTCCCCTGCCTGCTCTGTATAACAAGGGGTGGGAAAGAACCTAGCTAGCTTACTACCTAGGAACCAACCAAAGGAGAAGGCCTGAATTCATGGGCAGGGCTCTGTGGGGTTCCTTCATTCTTTACTGATCTCTATGGCAACAGAATGTTAAGACTTTATTATGCTAAAAATATGGATAATTGCAGATAGGTTTTAATTTGTCAGTTCTCAGACTTCTTTCTAAGTGGGGTAATGTTTTGTAGAGATGTTAGACTCTCAGGTTGCTTTCTATACTAAATCACTAAGCACTGGAGGCTTGCTTGTCAGGTGGCCAGTGGGACTGTGGACTAGTTTCTGATTCTTGCTGGTCTCACCTGCCCCTGTTCTTTGCTACTGCCCCACTCCTTCCCGGTCCTATCCTGGTTTACTCTATTGACCTGGAGAAAGGGAAGGAAGATGCACTATTTTTAGGTAGGAACTGCTGGCTATGGCCCAGTCCCCCTATATGTATTGATTTAGCTGCTAATGCATCTTGAGAAGTGCAATGTGGGCCATTATTGTTACTCATCCTGATGCTGTGAACTGGGTCTCCTTGTGCTTGTTTAGACTCCTCCAGAATATTAGACCCACAAGCCTTGCCTCCCTGCCCGTCTTCTCAGATGAGCCTCCACTTCTGCTTGGTTTACTTATGTTCTCATCCTAGCTACTTTGGTCCTTCTACCTCAATTTCTCCTTGTTCCCTGTTCTTAGTTCTTCATATAGTCTCTTGCTAAGAGGAAGACAGTGGTGGAAACAGGGAAATATCTAAGACAACTGCTCTAGTTTTACACTATGTAAGGTGATGGCATTTCATGGATGATAGCTGGTGTCATTATGTATGACTCATCATCTTGTTAACTCATCCCTCTATAGGGGGTAGTTATAGAGGGGAGAGAAGGGGACAGTGAACAGCCTTGTACCCAGCCTAACGTAAAAGAAATCTCCCTCCAACTCTCCCACCTGAGCATGAGTGGGTAGAGAGGTAAAACTATGACCCAGATCCTTTATCAGCAGAGGTAGAATTTCTCCCTAGTTCTCACTTTTTTTTTTTTTTTTTTTTTTTTTTGCAGAACCAGGGATTGAACCCAGGGCTTCACACTTTTACTAGGCAAGTGCTCTAACACTAAGCTACATCTCTGCCCTTTTAAAATTTTTTAATTTTGAGCCAGGTACAGTGGTGCATGCCTGTAATCCCAGTGACTTGAGAGGCTGAGACAAGAAAACTGCAAGTTTAAAGCCAGTCTTTGAACTTAGCGAGGCCCAAAGCAACAAAGGCCCACAGTGAGACCCTATCTCAAACAAGGGCTGGGGATGTGGCTTAGTGGTTAAACACCCCTGGGTTCAATCTCCAGTACAAAAAAAAAAAAAAAAAAAAAAGTTTTAACAGGGCCTTGCTGAGTTGGCCAGGCTGGCATCAAACTTGTGATCCTCCTGCCTTAGCCTCCCACGTAGTCAGGATTACAGAAGTGCACCATCATGTCTGGCTTCTACCAGTGCCAATTATAAATGAAATTTTCACCTGATTTTTGGTTTATATAGCCTATGATTCTGTCTTCTGTAAGGCAATACCATTTCCTCCCTATTCTTTAAACTTGGGTTCTTGTCATTCTGGATACTTGGGTCCAACAGCCCCTAGATGTGAGCTACCATTTCTGGCTTTCAGGGGGCTTGACTTGTGAACCTTTGTTTTTGTCACTTAAACAATGAAGGGAAGTGAGTTAAACACCTGAAAGAAATTATACCACAGTCCCTCTTTCCTGTGGAGAAGGTCTGGTGAGAATCAGGGAGTAATACTTGGACAATGAAAAAGTCTCTTGTGGCTCTGAAAATAAAGTAGAATGTGTTATATAATTGTTAACATTTATGCAGGATTTGTTGTGGGTTAGGCATGATACTAATAGGTTATATCTACTAAATCATTTAATCCTCACAATAACTACCTAGGGTTAGTTGTTTTATTGTCTACTTTGTAAACAAGGAAACTAATACCCAAAGAGATTAAGTAACTTGCCGCACAATCTCACACTTGGCAAGTTCAAGTTTCCAATCCAAGTGGCGTGGCTTTAGGTCTCTTGACCCTCCTCCTTAACTTTACCCCACTGTTCAGCGTTACTATGGAAGAAGCCAAGTCTTGGAGTCAGTGGGCAAGTATCATTTTTCCTCTTTCTGTACCTATGCTCTTGGGGGGATGCTGGAATATTTATTTTTTATTTTCCTGGGGTCCAAATTCAGGGCCTCAGGCATGCTAGGCAGGCCCTCTACCACTGACCTATAACCCAGCCTGACCCTGAATTTTTCTTCCTTTGTGTCTTTGCTCATCTTGTTCTTTCTTATCCATTTCTGGTCAAAATCCAATCCTGTAGGACCCTGAAACTTTCTTAGTTGGATCTGATCTCCCTTTTCATTATTCCTTGTCCTATTTGTGGGTCTCATTCTGCCTTTATTTACAGTTCTTTGCAAACTCTTTTACTAGATAGTTATAGCATGTTGAAGCCACCACACAAGTCTTTCATTATTAATTTGCCTTGCACATATTAAATTGTCTGTTGAATTAATTCCCTCTCTATCAAAGTCAGATCCAGGCTTTCCAAAGTTTGTCCCTTCTAGCCTGCTTTCCCCAGCAGCTTCATCTATTCCTTTCTTACTCCTCTAGGAGAGAGGATGCAGATCTACTCTTTTTGGTGTTACCATGGTAGCCTGTGATACTTTTTGTCTGAAGTGCTGCATACCATCCACTAGCAACTGATGTTTCCATGGCAACCAGGTGAAGGCAATAGTCATGAGCTGGATAAAGGAGAGGAATTTTGGTTTGAGAGACGGAATCTTCTAGTCTCAGATATTTCTCTTTCCTCCCAACTTTGCACTCTATMTCCAAAACTAGTATGCATTATCAAGGTTTGCTCCTGGTTGAAAGAACTCTGAATGTGAAGTGAAGCAGACCAACCAACTTAAATCATGTAGGAAGGTAAAAGCAAGGAAAGATCTGATCAAAGACCACTTTAGAAAGTTGGACGAGTTCTGTTAGCTGCTCCAGATGATCTGTTCTCAAGAGCCCTTAAGAGTTGGCTGAAGTTACTGGAGAGCCATTAGGCAGTTATTTTTGAGAGCAATGGGTAGATGGATGAGGTGCCTGAAGACTGGAAAGGAGCCAGTCAGCACTGGGTTGTACAGAGGGAAAACAATGACCTTGGAAATTAGAGACTTGCCATACTATTGCCAATGTTCCAGAAAGGATAAGAGCTTCAGTCAGTTTTTATGTATCAGGAGACCTACTTGTTTAGAATGAGGGTTGCTGAGAATTAGCTGCCTCCTTTTAACTCCAGCTGAAAGCAAGCTAGGGTATTTTCACTCTGTAGCAGAATGGTCACTCAAGCCACCTATGGGGTTCAGCTCCCTCTTGTCACAAACTAGCTAAATAAGCTTGGGGACTTATCTAGCTCATATTCTTCATCTATAAAAAGAAAATGAAAACAGTACCTATCTCAGGAATGTTGTGGAGATTAAATGAGATGCTAAGTACGAAGAGCTTAGAACTGTTAGCTTTTTGATGTCGTCATTATTACTATTTCTCTGGGTGCTTACTCACTTGACTTCCTGCCTGACCTCATTCTCCTCCCCAATTTTAGAGAATTCTCAAGGCTTACAGGGGGAGAAGAAAGGATGGGGCAATGATGTAAATGAATCTTAATCTTTCCTGAGTTACATTCCGAGGCTCACAAGGTCCTGTGTCAAAATTCAACCAGCCTAATTTTCAGGAAAATGAATCCCAACAAGCCCAATCTCCCTGCATCCTTGAGGATCCACCCATATAGTCAGATTATAACAAGATGGTTTAGAAAATTCAAGGTGAGCCTCACCAGGTAACTTCAAAGTACTTACTCCCCTTTTCTTTGGGCAGGGAGGAAAAATCCCAGAGCAATCTGTGTTACAGCCCATTGTTTAGGGCCTGCCTAACATCTTAAGAATTCTAGCACCTGTCTTTGTTGGTCCTCCTTCTCTAGCCCTACCCTGGCAATTTCCTTTCTGAATAAATGTTTTAAATAAGTACAGGTCCTCTGCTTAAAGAAAAGTTAGAATTTGAACAACACAATGGAAATTATGTAGAACAATATTCTCATTGCGGCTTCAGTTGCCAATCTTCCTCCCAGTCCTCCAAATGACCACCTCTGTTAATGGGTTACCTGTGAGTCTCATGGGAGGTCTGTTGGACCTTGTGGACCACTACTTAGCAACTGTATCTGCAGACTGGTGCTGAACTATAACTTTACTAAAGTGCTTGAGTGTCTAAATACGGGGCCAGAACATAGGTTGCAAAAGACATTGCTTCCACTGTTCATCACTATACCACTTGACAAAGATCTTTGCCCTTTATTCTCACAAATATCCTACAAGACAGGTACTTCATTATCTTTATTTTGTAGTTGGGATAGCATAGCTGAGGTTCAGAAAAGGAAAGAGACTTAAAGTGACTTAATTCACATAAGTTGGCCCCATCTAAGAAACATCCTGAATGCAAGTCTCCACTGAATTCACATCCATAGCTTGAGTTTATAAGGCCAAGCTGTGGAAGCTTTTCATCATTATTCAGATAGATGAAAAGGCATCTTGAGGATGTCATAAAACCATCAAAGTCAAGATGAGAAAAAGCAGAATGCTTTTGTCTGGTTTTGGGGTCCCTAGACAACTTTGTTCCACCATTCACCCAAATTGTACTACCTTATATTACAGGGAGGGTCATTTCCTCATTATGTATGTATTGGGGTGCCCACCATTTCTCTTCCATGCATTTACTCATGTATTTTCACTGCAAGGAATGTTTTCCCTACTTTCCCCCATTTATCTATAGCCTCCATGTCCTTCAAGGCCCAGATCCTAAGATACAAGTCTCCCATGTGTAATTTTCCTTCCATTCAGAATTCCTGGAGCACCTGATGGTAGCCTACAGTTAGTTAGAATGGGGTCTAATTGATTGCTGTTTTAGCATCATCACCACCCTGTCCATTTCCCCAGCTTAACTGTAAGCTATTTAAGGGACAAAGATAATGTCATAAATGGATTTGTCTACCCCCGGTTCCCAGGAGAGTGGTATGTTGTTTATGTTTAGAAGCTGAGGGGAACAACTTCAAGTATTTGTGGATAAAAGATAATGTGTTCAGGAAAATTTACTTATATTGGCATAGATCAAAACTGTTAAGATGGGAAGCTGGGGCTGTGGCTCAGTGGTAGAGCACCTGCCTCGCACGTGTGAGGCACTGGGTTTGATCCTCAGCACCATATAAAAAAATAAAGATATTGTGTCTATCTACAACTAAAAAATATTTTTAAAAAACTGTTAAGATTGGGAGCCGGGTGTAGAGGCACACACCTGTAATCTCAGTGATCCAGGAGGCTGAGACAGGAGGATTGCAAATTTAAAGCCAGCTTCAGCAACTGCTAGGCCCTAAGCAACTGAGTGAGACCCTGACTCAAAATAAAAATGAAAAATGCTGAGGATGTTGCTCAGTAGTAAAGCACTCGAGTTAAATCCCCAGGACCACCCCCCCAACCGCCCCCCCCCAAAAAAAAGCCACCAACCTGTTAAATTAATAAAAAGATGTGAGGACTTCCTGGGAGTCCTAGAGGACTTCCATCCATGATCTGGCACCCTTTTGGAAGAGGGGAGCCCCTGCTCCAGTCTCTCTAAAGAGGGTTAGATGTAATAGGGCCTAAAGGAATAACTAGAAGGGCCCACTCCTTTGGCCCCTCAGGAGAGAACAGTCTATGCTCTAGGCAATGAGGAGGTTTTGTGGGCAAAGAGGAGCTAGAATAGTAGGGGATGCTAAAGGAACATAGACCTTTAGACAATTACAGTGCTTAAGAGGAGCAGAGGGAACCTTACCAGGCACAGGCAGCTCAGGCCCCAGGGCTCTTTTGCTGAACTCTCATCCCAGCCCAGATCAATGGCTGTACTTTTCCTTGATCAGAGGGAGGGCAAGAAGTGACTTGGCTCTCAAAGAAGACCCTATTTCTCCCAAGTCTAGCAGGAGCCCTGCTTCAGCTTCAGTCTGTTCTGAGCTCTTCCCTGTAGGCGTCTGGAGGGAACACACAGATGGGTCAGGCTGATGGGATGGGCTGAGTTGGAGGGAGAGAAGTTTATGGTGTGTGGCTCCCCTCATGGAGTAGATCCTGCTGTCATCTTCAACAGATGATATACACATTTTAAGCTTCTGCCACATGAAAAGCAATGGGCCTTTCTTGTTCTTCATCCTCCTACCTTGACTCATTTAACCATTGGGGATACTCTGCTAGAAACCTGCCCCTCTGTTGCCTGCCCCACTTCTACAGTAGCCACAATATACTTAGCCTGAGTTCCTCCTCTACCTCTTTCACAGATGCTTCCTCTCCTTATCTATCCCCAGGAGATACTTTATTTGGTTTTAGAACAGGTAATAAATGCCATAGTTGGGCTGGGGCTGTAGCTCAGTGGTAAAGCACTTGCCTTGCATGTGTGAGGCACTGGGTTCGATCCTCAGCACCGCATAAAAATAAATAAATAAATAAATTAATTAATTAAATGCCATAGTTGAAAATTGAAAATGTAGAAAAAGGGCATGAAATGAATATGTCATTCTGTTTTTATTTTTTAGTGGTGTTGAGGATTGAACCCAGGACCTTAAGAATGCTAGGTAAGCACTCTACTATTGAGTTACAACCCCAACCCTCCTATGATGAAAAATAAACTCCCACCTGCCACCTGTCTTCTACTCACCCAGTCCCCCTTCCGAGGGGCAATCAGTATAATCCATAGTTTGTAATTTGTTGGGTCTCAAGACACTTTTGTGTATCTGATGAAATTCATGAACTCTGTTCTCAGACAAATGCATGACTACACAAAATATTAGATTGTCTGTACCATTTTACAAGAATCATCTCTGGTCTGGGGCTAAGGCTCTTGGCCAGTACCATACTCTCACCTTTAGTATTTCCTTAGTATAACTTGTGGGTCTCCTTAGTATAACTTGTTTCATGCAAAATGAAACGCAGGGCTTCTTGTTCAAATAATTTTAGGACAACAGCCAAGCGTGGGCTCCTGTGTGACTTCAAAGGTCATACATACAACAAAGCAAGCCCTGTATCTCATCCTTTCTTCTGGCTCTTCCACTTCCATTTTTATGATGATTATTCTCATATCTGTCACTTGACCCAAACTGTTCTGAATTTCAGACTCTGCTGTTCAGGGAGTGTCTGAAATTCTCCATATGGATGTTCTAACATCTCAAACTCTGTGTCTCCAATATGGAACTCACTCACCCTATCCCTAACTCTCTGCTCTCTACTCGTAGTTCTTTTCTATATCCCCTCCCACCTGCAGCTTGTCCCTCTCTTTATGCTCATCCACATCCCCAGCCCCTATACTCATCCATACTGTTGCCAAGTCTAATAAGTTCTATCAAACCCATGCCTCCTTTCTTTTCTAATGCCATCCCCATTGGGATGGTCCTTTATTACTCTCCAATGTATTACTGGCCCTGAATCTCAGCTGCACAGGCCTTGCTGCTCCAATCCATGTACAACTCTTCCAGCTTGGGAGACCATCCTGATCATGTCATTTCTATTCACAAAGACCTCTAGTGATCTCACTGCCTCTAGAGTTGGGTAGGAATGCATTTGCCTGACATTTAAGGTCCTTTGTTGTGAGGCTCAAAACCTTTTTCATATTCTTTTATACCCCTCCTCTTCATGTCCCTGAGGTTTCAACCCAACTGTACAACCATCTGGTTGCTTATTGGCCCCATGTGTTTTCCTCTGTTTTAGAATTTGAACTGTGTCTTTTCATGGTCCCCAGGGTTTAGAGCTTGCTTACTACACTCATAGACATGTCATTTCTCTGACCCTTTTATCACAGCCACTGAACATGGTCCTACCCATTATGTTCCTGAATCTCTTCTGTGATACTTCCACCTCTTCCATGCATCCTTACTGAAAAAGGAGTTTCATGCCAAGCTGGATAAAATCACCTTTGTATTAAGCAGACAGTGGAATCCCAGCTCTATTACTTACTGGGTGCTCTCAGGCAAGTTACTTACACTCTGTTTCTTCCACTATAAAAACAGGTTGTAGACTTATATATAATGTCTTATTTCTCTAAGGACAGTGCCATTATTCATATTATCATCTCATAACCAATCATTCTGCACTGGTCCTCCTTGGCTCCTCAGCTTGCAAGGACCCAAGATACATCTCATCACTCTTTTCACCAAGTTCTAGGAGGCTGCACTTGGGGTGGAGGCCAGGCTCTCAGGTACTCAGGTAGCTGTATTTATTATATTCTAGGGGTGAGGAGAGCTGCTGCCTCTGCTCCTTTTGTTCAAACTCATGGCTCAGGCAGCAGCAGGCGTGGGTGTCCCCAGAGGAGGCAGTGACAGCTTCAGTACTCACACAGGCTATGCAGGTGACAGCTGAGAATGTGGGGCTCTGTCAGGAGAGGTTCTGGAAGACCCCACCATGCCCCAGCTGATGGGTGTTACTCATGGATGTGGACCCCATCTTGAACAAGTCCAAGAAAAAGCTCAATATCTCTGGTAGCTGAACATAGCTTCCAGCCAGCTTCCTACAAGTAAAGGGTGGAATAAAGAGATGGGGGCCCAGAGTGTGGAGACTTGGTCACTGTGTCACTAAGTTACTAGATTACTTTTAGCAGGTACCTGTTTCTCTCTAGGCCTCATCTACAAATAAAGTGGACCCAATTATCTGCAAGGGCTCTTCGCCTCTTGAAATGGTCCAAGTTAGTTCCAGAGCCTCCCTTGCTTCTCTGAGTACTAGGATACATTCCCAGCCCTTTTTATTCTTTGAGACAGCATCTCCCAAGTTGCTTAGGGCCTTGCTAAATTTCAGACGCTCCCCTGGAACTTGTGGTCCTCCTGCCTCAGCCTCCTGGGGGCTGGAATTACGGGCTGCACTTCCTTGATTTTTGTCCGTGACAGCAGTTTCCATCCACATTCATCCCTTCCCTGGAGGCTCCAAGAACAGAAAGCAAGGTAAACGGATGCAATACAAAATTCCTTTATTGAAAAGGGAAAGGGTGGCCTTTTTCTAGTGCCTCCTCTTCATTCTGGGATCTGAAGGCAGAAGAAAATCTGTCCTCACTTTACCTTTAAGAATCTTAAAGGTGAAGTGCCTCGGTGGCAATGGTAAATCACCCAATCAACTATCGAGAATAGCACTTCCAGGCCCTTGCCTTTAAGAACTTCTTAAGGGCAATGTGCACCAGTATAGCAGATAAAAGCCAGAACATTTTTTTCGGAAGTCTCTAGAAAAGGGCCTCTTCCAGTCTTTAAGACTCTTAAAGGTGAAGCATGTTCAGCATACAAAGGAGGTCAACTCCGTCTAGGAGTCTACAAAACACTTTTCCAGTTCTCTTGTCTAGAATCTCTACAGAAGAGGTGGCCACGCGCGACTTAATAAAAGCAAAATACCTTGCAGGACTGTTTTCTTTCTTGACCCTCCCAAACAAGCCCCGCCCGCGGCCGTTGCGGGAGAGTCCTGCGGCTCGAGGTCTGCGTCCGGCGCTAGAAGGCGAGCTGCCCCGCGAACGCACGGTACCCCAGCTGGGTGGAGATGACGCCCATCGGCCCTTCCCCCGTGGTCACACCAGGGAATCCTGGGAATTTTTGGTTTCCTAGACGGCTTCCACATAGGAAGCCGGACGGGGGCGGGGCGAGCGGAGGGCGCCGTGGCCATGGCGACCGCAGCGGCTGTGGAGACCTTGGCTCAGAGCACAGAAAGGTCGTGACATGACCTGGACCGCTGCTTGAAGAACTTAGCGTTGCGCGGCACTAGGTTGGCCAGGAAACGCTTGGCCTTCTTGGTGAGGCTCTCGCGGCGCGCAGACGGCGCGGGGCCTTCAGGGCTGCCAGACTCGTGCCGCTGGCCTCCAGTGCGACCGCGGCCCCTCCGCAGCCGGATCTGGCGTACGGCGCCCTCGAAGAGCTCCCGCGTGTTATGGTGAAGCGCTGCCGACGTCTCGATGTGCTTGCAGCTCAGCGTTCCGGCCAGGTGGCGCCCCTCTGTGGGAAGGAGTCTGCTTAGGCACCCGCTGGGCCGCCCTGGGCCCACAGTTTGCAGTGGAAAGGGTTTGGGACTATGAATTGCAACACAACTCGAAAACTAGGCTGGGATCCTAGGGTGGGACCGTGGAGGTGCGAGGGAGGGGCCGAGGGGCCTTGGAGAGGCTAAGGCGATTGAAGAGCAGAAGGGATTCTTAGGGCCCTAGAAGAGGAATATTGGGGCTCTGTCCTTAACCTGGAGCTAACTGCTGGTGAATTCGTGGGCCTGTGAAGGTTTTAGAAAGGCCTCCGGGAGGGCTGCGCCTGCCCTCGCACGTATGAGGCACTGGGTTCGATCCTCAGCATCACATAAAAATAATAAAGATATTGTGTCCACCTACAACTTAAAAAAAAAAAAAAAGGCCTCAGGGAGAAGAGGTGATACAGAAGCGAGAGCGGTCCCCTAAAATGGCAAGTATGGAATCGGTTCAGAATACACACCCTCCAGGGATACCTCCCGGGAGCGGGCCAGGTCACTCTTGTTTCCAACCAGGATGACAGGTAGGTCGTGATGGGGCCTCCCAGCTCGGAGCCGAAGTAAGGTCTCTGGAACTTTGGAGAAGCTTCGTCTATCCGTGACTGAGAAGACGATGAGAAAGGCGTCCCCTGTCTGAAGGCAGTGGTCCCGCAGCCACCCCCCAGCATCTCCCTGGAAACGTCAGAGATTGGTAGAAAGTTAGGGCTGAAGACAGAGTTGACCCAGTCGAGCACCTACATCTCAAAGATGAGGAATCCCACTGTGTGAGAAGCCACCTGCTTAGGACAGCTGAGTTGGTTAATGACATCATTCCCAGAGTGTGTTTGAGGTTAGTAATGTGACCCCCATTTAGGGGAAATTGGAGGATCCTAGACCAGGGTAGCCATTCTACATTCTTATGCTTAAGCTCTTGATGCAGAAACAAATGCTATTTAAATGTATGTAATTTGGCCTCTCATTTCTATGTAATAACCTTATGTTCAAACATTGAGTACCCCCCCCCCGCCTTTTTTCCCTTTTTGATACTCCAGCACTCTGAGCACTTGTCCTGTCACATCAGACTCTTTTAGGCTGGAAAATTTATGGATGGAATCAACTTCTGGGTTGTCTAGCCTGGCTTGAAGCTGCAGTTTGTCAAATTCAGATCCTAAATTTAATGTCCTTTTTTTTTTTTTTTGAACCTAGGGACACTTAACCACTGAGCCACAAGCCCAGCCTTTTTGTATATTTTATTTAGAGACAGGGTCTCACTGAGTTGCTTAGCACCTTGCTTTTGCTGAAGGTGGATTTAAACACAATCCTCCTGTCTCAGCCTCCTGAGTCCCTGGAATTACAGGTGTGCCAGTGCCTAACTTTCCTCAGAAGATCCTGGAAAAGTAGTAGCTCTTATGGCCAGGGGCCTGGTATACATTACACATTGGTGTGGACCTTGTTGTCTGAGATAGTACAAATGAATTGTACACATTTACACCAGGATCTGTAGTCCCACCAGCCTTCAGCCAGACTGCCCTTCCTCAGTTTTCTCCCAACTTCACCTGTGTTCAGCCACATCTTAATCCTCACCTGTTCCCAGATGTCATAAACAACTAAAGTTACTTCCTCCTTATCCACCATGATTCGTCTTTCATAGGTGTCCTCTGTTGGGAAATAGAATAAAACCCATTAGGAGGTTCCCCAACACTTGTGAAAACTGGTAACCATAAACACCTCAGATCCCAGCAGCAGGGAACCCCTGCCAGGGAGTCTGCCACAGAAAGCACCGGAGAAGTTTCTCTTAGGTTTAATTCTCCAGGGGCTGCTTATGCCATGAGCACTTCATCCCTCAATAGGGCCCCAGGGTCCCCTCCACCACCACATGCTCTCCCAAATACCTGCATTCTCCGGCTCATGAGCACTGTCTCCCTGGAGACCACCGAAAGTGCCTGCAAGGGTGCTTTTGCCTACTCCACTCTCCCCTACTAGCATGACCTTGAAGATGCCATCCTTTTGGGCAGGGGCTGCCTCTCCTGAGCCCAAGGAGTCAGAGGAACCAGAAGATGAGGCCTGAGGTGGCCAGTCAAGTTCATCTACAGCCTGTGCCCTACATAGCTGGTGCTTGTAGGGCACAGGCATACTGCCTCTTCGTCTGGGGACCCCAGGGACAGGGGGTAGCCCACTCTGGTCCAACCCTGCCAACAGTTTCTCTGGTTTCTTCAGAAGTGTGGCATCTGTTTCTGGATGGGCAAAGAAAAGGAAGCCATGAATGATATATGTCCAGACATCTGCAGAGAGCTAACCCAAGCTGCTTCAGCTTTGGAGGCCAGCCACACCCAGTTGATGACCATGACCCTAAACAACAGAATCTTTGGCTCAACCTTTTACACTAAAGTCTCCTAGAAGCTTGGACTGGTAAGCCTTCAAGGATGTGACATGATGACTTCCCCATTGTAGTCCTAGCTACATCTGCTCAAAATTACCCCATACAGGAGAGGTACCTGTGTGCAGGTCACATACCCACTCACACTTCAAACTGACATAAGCATACTCCCAGGCTTGACCTCTGGACCAGGGGGGCTGAAGGAGGCTGTCCATCCTTCCATCAAGGGGCCTGCCTCCTACTGGTAATCCTACTTCTTCCTGCACTGGTAATGCCCACACTGAGGAGGGCAGAAGGTATGAGAAACTGAAGCTGCTGAAGATTCTGGGGAGTAGATATAAGCAGAGTCAAAAACTTTGTAGGGAGTCTGTTTCAAGGGCTGTGTGAGATGATGTGTGTTTGGGTTGCGGACGTGTGTGTGAGACTTCTTCCTTGTGTGGTCTCTGTGGATGTGTGTGTGTGTGTGTGTGTGTGTGTGTGTGTGCGCGCGCGCGCTGCTTCTTCCCGTGCCCTGTAGGTGAGCATCCCCCAGTGCATGGCTGTGTGCGAGAATCCTGCATCCCTGGTTGTCCCTGTGAGTGGGAGAGAATATTGCGTTCATGGAGAGGTAGAGGTGGGGAGAGAGAGAGTATGAGTGAGAGGGAGGGTGACAATGCATGGGTCAGGGTAACTGGAGGAGGAACAACAGACATAACAAAGGGGGATGGAGAAAGGCTGGAAATAGCCCAGGATCAATACTTGGCTGACAGCCAGGTCCTTTAGGAGCCAGAAGAAACCCTTACAACAGGTCCCCATGGTAGCCCCCTGCCCGTGATTCCCAGGCTTGTGGGCTTCCCCTTCCCTTTCACCCTTGCCTCCAGTCTGTCCCAGACTATAGGGAATGAGGCTGACCTGAGCACCACATATTGCTTTCTCAAGCAAAACCCCAAAGCCCTGGGAGTGATGGGGGAGGGGGCATTTGGGCAGCTTTTCTCCTCCTCCACCCTAGCCCAGCCCTTTATGAACAAGGGTCTTCATTACTTCCTGACTTGCCTTTCCCCTCTTGCTGATTAAACCTCTAGTTCTGACCACCAAAGCTTCAGCTCCCACCCCCGTGGTTACAGCCGGCACCTGCTAAGTTAGCCCTCACCTGGTGTAGGTGTCCCTGATGGGGAGGCCTGGCAGCTGTCGGAGGGACAAAGTGCTGTGTTTTCTGTATCCATGTCCATGTCGGTATCAGGGTCCGTGTACATGCGCGTGTGTGCGTGCAAGTGCAGCCCAGCAGCTTGCAGCACCCGCTCCCTCACTCAGCAGCACTGTCAGCTTTTCCCTTTAAATACCACCCCCCCACAAGTCCTCCCCCTAGACACCTGGGGAAATTGTCCCGCCCCCTGATGAGGTCACATATGCTAATGAGCAGTGATGTCAGCGGGATTCCCTCCTTCTGTCCCCCTCCCTTTTCTTTGTGTCACTTCCCTCTGGGAGAAAACTCACCATGAGCCTGGTTAAGGCGTGAAAGAACAAAGTCAGAGGGGCGGATGAGATGGAGATTCAGAGAGGTGGGGTGGGGGCAGGTCCCGTGGGCAAAAGAGCTGAGAATGGCAGGAGGCAGATACCCAGGGTAGGAAAGGTCTTTTTCTCCAGGTGTCAGAATGAAAACTATGTATCATTTGTGTCTGTTTCCAGCCCCCTATCCCAGCATGTAGCCCCAGAATGGGTGCTCAGTGGTTGAAAAGAAGGATGAGAGGCAAAAAGACAATAAGCTGATCTGAAAGACAAAAGAAAAATATACCAAAAGAGATGCAGGGGTAGTGGGCCATCCACCCCACCACTGTCTCCTCTTCCACCCTGCTCTGGGCTGAGAGCCATAAAAGTACCCATTTCCAAGTGTGGCCTTAGGCAGATGGGGGATCTGTAAGAAAAGCTGCTTTGTTTGGGCAGCTGCTGCTGCTGCTGCTTCTTCTTCTTCTTCTTCTTCTTCTTTTTTTTTTTTTTTTTGCCACTAGTTTCAGGTAGGTGCAAACCATTGTAGAGGCTTCTTCCTTTACCTCATCTCTCTCCCAACCAGGCCCACCCAGCCAGTGTTAATCAGAGCAGGTAAAAAAATATACCAGAATGAATGGTGTCTACCTATGTAGGCAGCTCCTTACTGCCCTTTTGTGCCCAGCTTCTTTTCCCTTCAGGTTTCGACTCTTGTCCCCTTTCTTCTGGACACTCTCAAGAACCCAAATACACCTTCTGATTTCCTCTCCCCAACTTCACCCTCTATTTGCCAGATGCTATGCTAGAGATAGTTTTGCATTATCTCCCTTCTTCTTCCTGATCTGAAGACTTATAATGGTAGGTGGGTGGCCTGTTCAAAGTAATAATGCAGGGGTGACTGGGATTCCACCCAGAGCTTTCCAAGGCCAAAGACTATTTTTTTTTTTCATTTCTATGCTATGCTGCTTTCCTTGTCTTAAAAATTCCAAATCTTTTCTATTATTTGGAACAATCCATTTTGTCATCCTTGGAGGACTTTTCCAATAGAAGAGGCAAATAACATTCTTGGGAATGATGTGCAGTGACACTTCACTTGTCTGGAGAACAGGATCTAAAGGAAGCAGGGAATACTCCTCAGCTTCTAATATATTTGTACATTTTACTAATTAGACTCTTCAGTCCTCACCAACAGTCTGCTTGTCCTTATTTTATTCACACTTTTAATGTGTCCATGTGTGTTCCTGTAGTAGATTAGAACTGCCAGGTGTGGTGGCACATGCCTGTAATCCTAGTAACTCAAGAGGCTGAGGCAGGAGGATCACAAGTTCAAGGCCAGCCTCAGCAAAAATAAAAAGGGCTGTGATATGGCTCAGTGGTAAAGTATCCCAGGTTCAAGTCCCAGTAACCCCCAAAAGAATAGATTAGAATCATATTTAGAGCAGCAAGTGCCCTCTAATAGTCTGGTAGAATGAGACAACCTCAGGAAAAAAACTTTTAAAGCATCCAGAAGCATTAAAAAGGAGTCTAAGGGCCAGGCATGGTAGTGTACACCTGTAATTCAGGGGGCTGAGGCAAAGGATCACAAGTTCAAGGCCCACCTTGGCAACTTAATGAGACCTGTCTCAAAAGAAAAAAGCTTGGTGGTAGGGCACCCCTGGGTTTAGTCTTTAGTGCTGCCAAAAAAAAAAAAAAGTCTAAGGTTATTTAATATATAGTCAAAGAGTGTCCCCCACAATAGTTATAGCTTATGAAGACACTGCTGCAAAGAAGTCATCAGATTTCATGGATGATTCTCGGCTATTCAGAAAATTTTTATATCGCAGGTCTTCTGAAGATGAGCGGAACATTTTAGGATGATTTTCTTCCAAAATGAGTTTTGTTTTGTTTTAAATTGTAAAGTAGTGATCTCTATGAATCCGGAAAACTCTCTCGGGTGGTTGGATTCCTTTCTATACTAGATAAGAGTGAGTCAGGGGCTGCAGAGCCCAGCAACAATTCTCTACTTTGAATTCTGCCTCCCCCAGTTCAGCTTTGGGCCAAAGGAGCAGCCTGCTTTTTACTTTGAACCACCTGCCCCTCATCCAGTAAGGCACACACAGATCCTAGAGAAACTTCCATAAACAAAGGCCTCCCTAGGGAATTCTTGCCCTAAGGCCCGGCCCTCCCTCCAACATTCTGAAGCATTCTACCACCACAAGAGGTGCTTTTATTTTAAATCTTTGTCCACTTTGTTTATTTTTAAATTTTTTTGGGGGGGAGTGGCATACCAGGAATTGAACTCAGGGGCACTCGACCATTAAGCCACATCCCCAGCCCTATTTTGTATTTTTTATTTAAAGACAGGGTCTCACTGAGTTGCTTAGAATCTTGCTTTTGCTGAGGCTGGCTTTGAACTTGTGATCCTCAACCTAACCTTTGTCTAGTTTAAAACTGCAAATACCCCTAAGAGAGAAAAAGGTCTGGAAAAAGTCAAGGGATGAAGATATCAGGTTGCAGATTTTTGAGGTGGCTAAGGAGGAAGAGAAGAGCAAGGGAGAATGTAAAGAGGAGGTGAAGAAGTAGGGAAGGGGAAATTACCATTCCTACTGCATTTTTCACTGAGACATTGGGTGGATCCAGTTTGTCTGCACTGGGAGGGCCCAAGGGAGAATCATAAGCAGGAGCCAGGTTTCCTGGAGGTCCTTCCACACACTCTGGAGAGGAAGTGGAGTGGAAGGAGCTCAGGTTTTTCCTGGGCCAAATTACTAGGGTCCCAGAACTGCACACGGGTCCACACCCCCTCTGCCACTTCCTCAGGCTCTTGCTTACTAGGAGGGAAATTGTGTAATTACTACTGACTGTGAGGATGTTGACAGGGTATAATCAACAGGGCCCTTCCACCAGGGAAGTAAGGGGCCCATTCCCCTGGGGACCATCTCAGCTTTGCACCTGAGGTCTCACTCCCACAGGCTCCTTCTATATCCTATGTCCCAAGATTTTCTTTCTTTTTTTTTTTACTATTTATTTTTTAGTTGTACACAATATGTTTATTTATTTATATGTGGTGCTGAATATCGAACCCAGGGCCTCACATGTGCCATGCGAGTGCTCTACTGCTGAGCCACAACTCCAGCCCCCCAAGATTTTCTTTTTAAACTCTTCAACAACTTGTCACCTTCTCACCAGAGGCAGGCCTCCATTTCTCAGGAGATATCTCTCTCCAGCTCTTTGGCTCTGACCATTGCTTATTATGCTCAGTTGTCTCTTCTCAGGAAGTCCAGTGTCTAGCCATCATGTTTTGTTGTTGTTTATCCTGCCCTAGAATTCACAGCTCTCTCCCAACTGTTGGCAGAACCCATCCTCTTGGATTCAGCCCTGGTGATGCCAGCCCTTCCATAGACTGAATGGTTGTGATTTTCCCTTTGACCAATCATTCCCTGCTTTTTTGTTTGGGGAGGGGGGGATATCAGGGATTTAACCTAGGGTACATTATAACAGAGCCACATCTTCAGCCCTTTTTCATTTTTGAGACAGAATCTTGCTAAATTGCTGAGGGCTTCACTAAGTTGCTGAGGCTGGCCTTGAACTTCGCATCTTCCTGCTCAGCAAGGCATTGGGATTGCAGGTGTGCAGTATGGCACCCAGCTTTGGTCCCTGTTTTGAGGAAGCTGCACTGAGAGCTCATCTCTTTGGTGTAGGACAGGCTGTTAAGTGCCTGATGGGGATGGGAGGGTAGAGAGCAGGAGTCACACAGCTCCTATGTTCTACCAGGGATAGAATCCTCCTGTGTGACATCTGTGCTCTGAGAGTACTCCATAACTGGGAACCTTTCTAGCTGTAGGGCCCAGCTGGCTCCCTGATTTCCAACCAGGGGTGAGTAAAGAAATTTGATGCTCAACCCTATGTCACTGTAGGGCTGGCCCCAGGCAATGAGCAGAGATGAAGAAGGGTGGTCCTTAGGGTTCCTTCATCTTTTTTTTTCCCTTTGGTACCAGGGATTGAACTCAGGGGCACTTAACCACTGAGTGACATCTCTAGTCCTATTTTGTATTTTATTTAGAGACAGGATCTCACTGAGTTGCTTAGCACCTCGCTTTTGCTGAGGATAGCTTTGAAATTGCCATCCTCTTGCCTCAGCCTCCCGAGCTGCTATTATAGGCATGCACCACTGTACCCTGCTTCCTTGAATTTTCTTACCTTTCAAGGGGCATAAAAATCAAGGGTGGGGTGGCTGAAAGATGGATAGGAAGAGGGCAACATGCAAAGGGCTAACAAATACCCTCAGAGAGAGGAGCAACAAGAGGGAGCATAAACCAAGATGGGGAGAGAGGCTAGGCTCAGGCTCAGAGCTGATTTACAAAATGTTAAAATTTATGATCCCTTTATTTTTTTTTACCTTGATTTCTTGGGCAATGCTGTAGGTGTGGGACAAAAATATTTGTTGCATTCTTTTTGTGAGCCAGGCTCTATAGGGATGGAGACTGGCAAAACCTCAGGCCCTATCCAAATCCTCCCCTTGGGGCTGGAGGGTCTCCAGTCAATTGTCACTCTTGTGTTTAAGGCCACTTTGGGGTTGGGATTTGGCAAGGATGGAGTGTCCAGGCCTATGACCCTTTAAGAACTTTGCTTTTTAAAAACACTCAACTGGATAGTGTAAGGATAGGGAAAGGATGGTGGGAAAGGAACTGTGGTCTCTGGCTGTGTAGAGGAAGCTCTCAGTGAGCCCTCTCCCTGACTGAGGGACACCTAACTTTCTAGTAGCTATAGTGGTCAGTGGGGAAGCTAAGCCACTCTCTAAAAGGG